AAGACTGTCGGCAGACTCATTACCATTGAATCCTGTGTGAGAAGGTACGTAGCAAAGCATCACTTTGTTTTTGCTTGCCAGCTGCTGCAGCATTTAAGTATTATAACAATATCAAATTATAAAACAAAATTTTATTATAATTTATTAATAGCAAACAATAATATAACAATAAATTGTTTATATGTAATAAGAATAATTTATTTATTTAATTTTATTGAAAGCGTTTTTATACACTTGAGCTAAGTTTTTTTATATATTTGTCTAGGACAAGACTACTTTTTTGTAGTATCGTGGACAGTTGCCGAGTATATGTTACTTCTATAAACAAAAAGCACTCTTATAATATAGTATGTTACATAGTAAAAAATAACGTTTATATTTTAATTTAAAAGTAAAATTTTTATAATATATAGATATATTTTATGTTCTTTATTTTATTCTAATTTTTGTTTTTTCTATTTTTTTTCTGTTTCTATTCCTAGATAATATTCATCTAGCCACAGATAATGAATATAAGAAGATGTCGCAAGTCACTCTATATTTACTAGTGAACTTCAAGAGGTTCGCAACAACAATTTCGCAACAACAATCAACATAGTCCACACTTTTTTGATGCTTAGAATATATTAGAATCAAAAACATAGAAATATGTTTCATATGCAATATATCCGCTACACTAAGAGAAAAAGTCGATCCTTTTGCAAAATCTTTAGTGACAATTTATGCTCAATTCTAAAAGTTCAAAGTAAACAAAATGCAGAAGAATTTAATAGAATGGTGATTGATCTTTTATCAAAACTTATCAAATATGGAAGTCGGAATATTTCCTTTAACATATGAGAAAAAAATCTCTAATTAGTGATTGAGAAAAAGAATGTCCCTGAATATCAAACCAAAAAATTATAAAGAGGTTTTTTCGAACAGTAGTGAACTACAACAACAAAAATTTTATTTTTTATATTATTTTAATTAATTGAATTTTTGGCTGACCATGCAGCTGTTTCGAGTATTGCCAAATACCCATCATCAGTGGTCTTGGAAATAATTCTTGTATTTAATTATTCGTAAATAATTATTTTTGAGACTACAGGTACCAGGAATCGAACTCGGGTCCTGCCAAATGTGAAGCTCAGAATCAGCCCACCTTAACCAACTGATCCAAAGCCGTACTTGACTTTTTATGTTCGCATATTTAAAAAAAATTATGATATTTCCGTTGAATTGATAAAAAAATTTAAAAAAATAAAAAAATTGATATAACTTTAAGCTAGATTTTTAACAAATATTTTTATTTGTATATTATTGTAATAATTATTGTAATAATTATATTATATATATTATTTCTATTACTTTTCTATTATTATTACTTTTCTAACTACTTTTCATCTATGAAACAAATTAAAGCGAGTGTCGGTCAAGGTTCTCCATTATTTTTTCTATATTTTATAATTTATATACAGCAAGTTTTTCGAATTTGAGGAGACACTTCCGAAGGTAGAAAATTAGAGTAATAGCTGAAAAAATGAAAGCTATTTTTATTATGACATGTATGAATTAAATGCAAAAAAAAAAATTAAAGTTAACAATGTAGAAATATAATGTAGAATACTTAGGTCTAACTTTTGACAGAAGATGCACTTGGCTGTAGAAAAAAAAAACGAACTTATATAAGTCTTAATGCTCTCAAATTATTAATACCAAGAAGTTTAAGTGTAAAAAAGACTACTCTGCTTTATAAGCAAGTGATTACATCTTGTTTCTTATAACAACGCTGCTCAATCCACCATTAGAAAACTAGAAACTTTTCAAAATATTAAGACAGAGTGTACAAAATTACATCAAAGACATAGCGTTTAACTTGTTTGATTCTGTGTGCTCACACTCATTTAGATCTGCACTCTCTTAAAACAAATTCAATCACACCTATTCTGAATATTCCCAGGAAATTAGTTTCTCCCTAGACTGAAATTCCCCTATTCTGAATTGCTCTGTAGATGGTTGTTGTAAGAAAACCAAAAAAATTGAATTTGTTTCGATTTAATGTCAGTTAATGTGGATTTAAATTAAAAAAATTTGAATTTTTGAAAATGCATTCAATTGCATTTCATAACGAATACTTTTAAGTAAATAATTAAAAACTTTTATTTTATTTTTTAAATATTTACATAATTTATTATGTAAAAATATTAATGTAACAATATTGAAATTATTAATGTTTTAACTGAAGTTTGAGTTCTTTTATTTTCAAAAGTCGACGAGTTTATTTAATTTCCTCCTCAATTTTGCATAATTTTAATATTCTATTGTTTTAAATTTTTTAAACCAACACTTTAATTTGTAAAAAAAACCAATGTAGATAAAATAATAAATAAATAAAAATTTAATTATATTCAAAAAACTAATAATTATTTTTTACTTACATATTTAATTAGGGTTTTTTTAACTAATCTCCCACACAACTGGCCTGGGAATAGTTTGGTACGAAAAATAAAAAAACTCCCTTTTTATTTACAATAAGTGAAATGGGAATACTTGCCATTTCATTCAAAATAAGGAACATGGGAAAAGAGAGAAAACTCTCATTCCCATTCAGAATAGAATCCATTTTTGTAATATCTCCTGAATAACTCCTTATCATAATTCAACGAAGCGCTTTTTACAGTGGATCATCCAAGTGGTCACAGATACTATGGAGTCAAAGTGCATTAGACACTCACGTTTTATCAAGCAAAGAAGAAAGACGCATAATTTCATATTTTTTGTTCGTGTAAATTTGATTTGTTTGATTTGTGTAAATTTATACACTCCATTTATCAAATCATCCAAATGTCGTAATAAGGTTATTCTGTAAGTTATATATTGCTTTGTATAACACTAGCGCTATTTCATCTGCAGAGGTTGCAATCAAAATTCGGTAGTTGTCGAGACAGCAACGGCTATAATCAAGAATACTATCTTTATTTTTTTTAATTCAGAGGCGCTGTCAAACGCCCATGTACATTTTAAGTACAATACCGCAATTTGATATATTAAGCTTTTGTAATAACTAGGCCAGTTTTGAATTAAAACTTTCTTATCCCAAAGAACCTCTATTATTTTTACGTTACATTTACTCAATCATATCTTAACCGTGAATCGTATCCGTTTTGTAATTGCTGTCATATTTCCTGCTATAGATCTCCACGGTTAACCCCAACAACTAACACAATATTTAAATGCCACATTTGACTTATTCAACTGAACAAAATAAAACATCATTTAAAGTTTTAATAAATTTTTATTTTGATTTTTTTTCTTTCGTTTTAGTATAGAAATAACACATTTTATGAAAAATGGTTTTTAACTTCAAAGTTGTGTTGTATGGTAAGGTAAATTCATATATTTCATAAATTTTCCTTTCTTTTTTTTATTCGAGCTTAAGTACTATAATTATATTGATTTCTTCAAATTTAATTTAAATACTTGTCTTTAAAGTTATATATATATAAATGCCTTAAATTCAATTGAAAATTTTTTTCCTTATGTATCAATATAATAAATATTAGGGGGTAAATTCATCTAAATCTTTTTTAACTTGGTTTATATTCATATTTTGAATAATGCAAGAGTATATAAAAAAAGATTTTAAAAAACATTTTATTACATTTTTGGTAAATGAACTTTAAAGATTTTTGGCAATAGCAATTTAAGAAATACAAACTTGAGAAATGGATATTATGTTATAATTTTACGGAAATTATTTTGTTGAACTTCTTAGAGGATTGAATATGATTGCTGGCCATGAAGTTTTTAAAAGGCATTCATATTAGTTTCCACTTTTATTTATGCCAGAAAGGTTTTCATAATTTTATATTGTAGAATGCAGATTCTTGCTTACACCATTAATTACTTGTGAATATATTGTTTTAATCAATGAATTATTACTGATATATGGAATATTAGTAAATTTATTTCAACAAAAATCACGAAACGTTATACAAATTTTCATCAACTACATTACAAAAATTTATTTAAATACATTTTTTACCTATGACACTAATAAGAAAATATTACAATGAAAATATTTTATTTTTAATATTTGAGCAAATTGTTTAAATAAAATATTTTAAAAAAATCTTAATATGCATTTTCATTTATAGATTTGGTTTTTATTAAAATGAAAGAATATTTCTGATTTTCAAATAAAAACAAATACAAGTAGAGTCACGAATTTTGGTGATATAATTATATGGTATATGCGTATGAATAAAGATTTTTAAAATTTAAACTAATCTATATTTCGTTTTTTCACAAAAAAATAAAATACGCGTATTTTTTAAATGAAATTATTTCATAATATGAGATAAATAAATAAAATTAAAATTATTTTTATTAAAATAAATAACTCCGTGATTTTTGTTGCATATTCTTTAATATATTTAATTTATATTTACTTATGTTATTATATATATACGTAAATATATATATATATATATATATTACAAAGTTGAGCATTTATTAAAACTTTTTTAAATCTATTTTCTTTTAATTTATTTAATAAAGTAATTTATTTATTGCTTTCCTTTTATTTTGTTAATTATTTGTTTTTGTTAATTATTTCAAATAATTCATAATATTTTTAAATATATTATTTTTTTTCAGTTAATTTTTTTCTAAATATATTTAATAAATGTTATTATTCGTAATTGCTGTGTTTGTTTATCTTTGTTTCTAATAATAATAACTTTTGCACATTTTCTACTTAGACTTAACTAATACTAATAATGTAAATAACTTATTTGTTTAAAAATTCAATTATAAATTTAATTTACTCTTTGTATCATTTTGTATATTTAATTATAAAAGGGATTTAGACTTTATCCGTTTCAACTAACAAAATAATTTATAACAACAATGATTAATTAATACATATTTACTTCTTTAATATATGAATAATAAAAAAATTATATAAAAATATTAAAATTATAATATATATGTATAAATATATCTTTAGTATGGTTTTGTAAATATTAATGCAGGTAAGTGGTAAGTAGGATTAGGATTCGAATAAAAGTTCGGTTTAATTATTTTTGTATTTTGTAGTTGTGTTAAAAATAATTTTAAAAAAACAACAGTAGTATGTAAGATGTTCTTTATGAGTTCAATGAATTTGAAGACGAACAAAACTGAATAATGCAGATTTGTGTTCCATGGCTTTTGGAAAGAGTATGCAAGAGGTTCACATTTATTTAACAATTGTGATGAAAATATTTTTTAACAAGTGAGGTTTTATAACTTTTTCCAGTTCTTTAATAATTTAAGAAAATAATAAAAATTTGGCAATTTGGAAAACTAAATGTGGCTTAAATAATTTTAATTTTTATTTAAGGCTTAGTCAGTATAAGAAAGTTTAAATGTTGTAGTTTAGATGTGCGTGTGGATGTGCGTGTGCATGTGTATATATATCATACTAAAAATAACATCACCAATAGTTTCATTTTTTGTGTTGTTTTGGAATGTCAAAACTTCAAATAAATTCTTGTTTGATTTTGACTATTAAATTAAATTTAAAGATATAAATAACTGTCAGCGGAAGACACAAAACTAATTTGATTTTGCAAAAAAAAAAAACAAAGTCAAAAAAATTGGCAAACTTCTTTACCTAATACAATAATTATTCATGTATTTCCCTTAATTCTAAGAAAATATTTTTATGTATTCATTTGTGTTTTATACCTTAAAACACGAGTTATTGAGATTTTTATTTGATTTAAGTAAGTTTGTGATTTTTTTTCAATGGAAACGATTTTGGTTTGATTGTGATTTTTAGGAAATATTATTTTCTAATCAATGTGTATTTTAAGATGCCAAGTGATCAGATAGACAAAGTAGAAATTTACACATAAAAAGTATAGCAATACTTTGTTAGCTTGGCAACTGAATTTCATGCAACGTTTTTACAAGTTTATTTTGAATATCCAATTCTATTGTTAAGGTATGTTAATTTCTTTATAATTTCTCCTATTTTCTCCTGTTATTTTAAAAATTTGTGTTTACTTTTATATTTTGGAATTGTATATTTATTTCCTTATGTGAACTCCAATACCTTTGTTATTATTTTCAATACTGCAATCAGTTGTGGACTACAGTAAATCTTTAAATCTTGCATTTTTACGATTTATTTGTAAACTTTTTGTTTTTTTATTTTCTTTTTGGATTTCGCTTTTATATTCCTTTTCGATTTCATTCAAATATTATCCACTTAACCATTTTTCTTAACTCAGCCGTATTTCGCTCTATATCATCCTAATATTTTTCATCATCATTTATTTCCCTTTGGGAGTTCTGTAATTCTCAGGCTTTATAATGCTTGTTTCGTACCGCACAGCAAAGACTTAAGGAGAAGGTTAAAGCCAACAATTCGAGCAATACAACTCCAGCAGTAATGCCAAAGAGTAGTACCCAATTTTCATAAATCAATTCAATCAATTTATCAACACAACCCTGAAATGAACATACATATATATAATTATAAAGATCATTACTAAATATAGATATACGGATGTAAATATACCTGTTGGTAGATTGCATTCGGTAATGGTCCGCCAAATTTAAGTTTTCTTGACATTTCACATACATTATCTTCTAAATCATCCTTGCAGCAGGATTCAGGTATATTATAAAAAATGTTCATTGATGAAATAGCAATATCAACAATATTGGTGCGATCAACATTATTAAAGCGACTAGTTGCCCAATCTCCAGGTCCATCAGCACCGCAACATTTCAACTGAAATTTTTATATATTTATAAAGTTAAAGTTATTATTAGTTATTATAAGTTTAATATAAAAATATCAAGAAAAGAACGTAAGTAAAAAATTTAGCAACTACTATCATATTATTGTGATAAACGTTTAAAATCACTTACAGATATTATAAATGGGATTATATTTTTTAATAAAAAAATATATAAAGAATTAATCAGATATTATATATATAGTTACATAACAATAATAACAAATTAATACCACTCATGAAATTCAACCATTAAAAAACTCATGAAATTCAACTTAATGAATCTGTGGTTTTCTAACCCGTTTGTTAATTCTTCTCTATTCAAGTTGACAATTCACCGTTTCTACTTCTAAATAAGATTTGCTAATGTATTAATCAGAATTCCTTTTTGTCAGACGAATTACTGTTTTAATGTTTCTAAGCTCATATTAAAGTACTAATATAGCACTGACCTCAGATAACATTCGTATCACCACTTCGCTTTAAAATGACGATATGGGTATTGATTTCAAATCCTACAAATAATTTAAAAAGCTAAACTAGAAATTCTTTTATGATTGTTCTGAACGTGGTTTCAACAAATTAACGTTCATACTGATATAATATTAATATTATATTATTTGCGACATTACCTACCGTTCAGCTACCATATTACCTAGGATAAGGATAGTTAGGACACATTTACTTTATTTTCTTTATTAAACACATAGAGAGGTCTAGTATTTATAAACAAAAACTAGTCTTTTTTAATGACAAACTTTTTCTACTTTTTATAACTATTACATAGGATGATTAAAAAAACAAAAAACTTTAAAAGCATTTACTCCTGGGTGTATTTACAGAACTTTCTTAAGCCTTCTTGAACCTGAACTTAAATGCTAATTACAATTTCTCTTCTATAAAAAAGGCATTTTGTTTCATTAATTTCGTTAATATGTTTTTAGAGAACACGATTATTTATGCAAAAAAATTAAGTTTTTTAATTATAAATGTTAGTTATTTGTGACCAAACAATTTTAATAAAGTGTTTTTTTCAGGCTAATTAGTCAAATTTTTTGTTTTTTATATTGTTGTTAAAAATATAAATAAAATTATAAATAAAAATTAAGAAAAAAGAAATCACAATTTAACTTTGCAATAATTTTTATTTTTTTTTTCGATATTTCGACTTTAGTCTTAAGTTATCCTCAGGGCTGTTCGGACTTCCACACCGATCTTATTTTTTTACTATGTTTATGACCAGCCATTCTTGTTCTTAATTTATTTTTGGTTGTTTCATCATATACTTGGTCACATACGTCGTACCAGTCACCTTTGCAACTGATTTGGAATACTACGTTTGATTTGTTTGCTTTATATTTTTGTTTTTAAGTTGGAATACAGTGCGTTCATTCTATTTCCAGATCTTAGTGTGATATTATAATTTGATTTATCATGAATATTAATTGTCAATATTTGGTTAGAGAGTTTAGGAATATGTATAATGCTTTTATATATTTTGTTATCCTTATTCCTAGTGTCATTCTAAAAGTTGTTAATATTTTTGATAGTCTTTTCACATTGGAAGAGGGGAAATCATTTCTCTTTAAAATTTTTCGAAATTCTTTTTGTAAATCTTCATGGAACGTTGGATTGGTTAGATATAGAGCTCTTTTTATCATATTTTTTGTTGTATTTTGCACTACATGGTATGGATAGTTTGAATAAAAATTGATGATTCTTCCTGATGCAGTTGTAAAGATGTCATTATTGTGTCTCAAGATAAGGACGGATTATTGATATTAAGATAAGGAAGATATAAAAGTTTTTTAATTATTTAATAAAGTACTAGAAGTATTAGAATATAATATGGGGACAAATTCTACAGTATTTGTTACCATAAGCCCTGAGTATAGCCTTCCTGATATGATGGGTAGAGCCGTATTGCAATAGCCATAGGCCCTGAGAACATATACCACTATTTGTGTTCACATTTACATAATATAAAAACTAATGAAATGCGATGAACTTACATTTTTCTGTATAGTATCAAATGTAACAGTGCGCGAACTCATACTAGATTGACCATATTCCTCTTGTACAGAAAATTTAACCGATGCACGCACAATATCATCCAGTTTATCTTTATTGTGGAATGCCCAAGCCCCTGCCGCAATTTGTGCAACAATAACAATAAGTATAACGCAGAAGAACTATAAAAATAAACAAATAAGATCCATTAAAGTTATACTATATATTAGAAACACATTTTTTATTTTATTACATTTAAAATGTAATTTCATTAAATTTTTTAAAAACTATAAAAACTATTAATGCTTTACATTAAATTAAAGTTTATTATTAGTATTTTGAAAGTTATAATTATTATTACCGCCAAATCATGTGCAAATATTCATTGACAAATAACAATTTATTTATCTCATAAAATTTATTAATACAATAGTAATGACATTAGTCTACATTACTTACTGATACTAATAAGCACTCAGATTCCTTAATTACGCCGCAGCAACCGAAGAAGGCACCAATGGTGATCAATACACCAATGCCCAAGAAAACGTAGAGCGCTATATAATAATGATTATAAGGTTGTGTCATGGAGAGTAAGAATGTTGGATCAGTTATCATCCATAGTGATGCTACCACAATTGTTAAACCAATTATCTGCAAAAAGAAAAACGTTTATTTCAAATAAATATGAAAATAATTAATTTAAATAAAATTTTAATTTATATTAGAAGGAAAAGTACGTCATACTTAAAAACATACACATTAGAGAAAAACTTGAAAACTTAAATGTGCTAAAAATGTAAATTATGATGTCAGTTTATTTTTGTAAAAGTGTTCAAATTTATTTTTATTTCATTATTCATTTTGATGACTTGAGTCAAATTCTGTTTATTATAATATATTGTGAGGAATTTGTGTATATAATTATTTTAATGTTTTATTATAAAAACCTAAGAAAAGTGGTTTTTGATAATAATTTTATATTGTTATTGTTTTATAATATAAAAGACTCAATAGATGTTTCTTGTACATAAATCAATTCTATTGGTATACAGACCTATTCTGTTCAACGAGCTACTGGTAGTAAAACTCAAGTAAAACACAAGTAAAATTTACTCGAAAATTTACTCGAAAATTTGCTGGTGAAATGTATACACAGTGTTACTCAAAGTTACTAAGAGTAGTTTGTGAAACATACCTAATATATACAGAGATTTGAAATATGAATAACTCCTAAATGTAATAACATTTGTATTTCATTTGGAAAATAGATAACACAATTATTAAAATTTATAATCAGGAACATGAAGTCATTTTTCTGTTACGAATTTTACTGCATTTAAAATGACTTCGTAACTAGACTTAGTTATCCATTATAACCCGAGCTCAATTCGAAATTCAATAAATTTATTAAATCTCAGTTTCAGCTTAGAGATGATGTGAATTTTTTTGTTTTTAAATAAGCTTTCTACCTTCTCAACATTATTTAATAAAATAGTTAAGTCATACATTGCAAATGACATACTACATACAAATTGCCCAACTAAATTAAATTTCTATCATTTCTGAGGTAAATTCCCTTGTTTTCTTCATGCATGGAATCAGTATTGAATTTAGTACAAATATATAAAAACTGAAACATAAAAAGTTCAAAAGAGAGTTAAATGAATATTTAAAAAAATTTTTGTTCGAGTTACAGAGAAATTCGATTTATGGAAGCAAAATTGTATGAAATTTGCTCTCTAAAACCTTAGTCCACTGTTTTTGGTTCGAGTTATGGAAAATTCGAGTTATAGAAGTTCGAGTTATGGAAGTTTGACTGTATTTAAAAAAAGAAAAATAACCATTGTTAACTATTACAACCTTATATAATTCACGTAAATTGCATACCTAATTAAGGAGAATTTGATGTAAATGTAGCGTTAAAACGGGGCACGCTATACTCCATATAGAATTTGTAAATCTGTACAAGTATATGTGTTTATATATACACATAGCCAATAAACTCTGCGTACACCTTACGAATTTTGATATGTGATAAAGAAAAATAACATAAATAAATATTTTTAATTAAAATTTTTACATATATTTATTCTTTGAATTATTAAGTTTAAATAGCAAAAGACAAAAATTGTATTCGACTATTCATTCCAGATATAACGGGATAAAAGTGTGCCTGCATGTAAAAATAGGCCCCATAAAGTCTGCGTACAGTTATAAAAAAACTGATCAAATCGGTAAAAATAAAGTTAAATTTAATACTTAAATTTAATAATAATGGTTACCATGCTGTTTTAGAACTTCACTTAATCTATTTGGCATGGAATTAACCAACTTCTGAGTTTCTTCAGCAGTAATTTTCGCCCATTCTGCTTGCATTGTACTCCGCAAAGCCTCTTTACTTGTTATCACATGCTGACGAATTCTTTTTTCCAATAAATCCCAAAGATGCTCAATAGGATTGAGATCAGGTGATTGTGGAGGTGTTTTAAGCTGTCTTGGAACGTTGTACGAAAGCCAAAGTCTAACATTCTCCGCTGTGTGTTTTGGGTCATTGTTCTGTTGGAACCAAAATGTCGTGGATAAACCCAAATTATCTGCGCTTTGTTTCAAATTTTTTTTTAAAATGTTTAAATAGCCCCATTTATTCATTGTCGATTCTATAAATTCCAACTGGCCTACACCACCAGCCGCCATGCAACCCCATACCATAACTCCTCCACCGCCGTGTCTGATTGTACCAACAAGATTTTGTTTCTCAAACGCCGCTCCTATTTCCGCACAATTTGACGACCTTTTATACCAAAGATGCAGAACTTGCTTTCGTCTGAAAATAACACTTGTTTCCAGAACTCCGGAGGTTTATTTATGTATTTCTTTGCAAATTCAACGCGCTTTTACCTGTTTACAAGTGAAATATATGGTTTCTTTCTAGCGACTCTACCATGATATCCAGCTATATGTAATACTTCCCAAGCAGTCTCCGCACAAATACTTTTTTTAAATGATTGTGTTATATATTTCACAATTTTCGAAGAAGTAATGAAAGAGTTCATCTTTATCATATGGACTATTTTTCGCTCTTCTCGGACTGATAAAACTTTTGGACCGCCCAGGACGCGGTTTAGATGTTAAAATTCCGGTTTTTTTGAGGTTGTCCACTACGCGCTGGATTGATGAATGCGTTCTTCCAATAGTTTCACCAATTTTGCGGAAACTTTTTTCATCTTTCCATAGTTTAATAATTATTTTTCTTTCGTACACACTAATTTCTTTTCCCCTTGATTCCATACTTTAAAATAGTTACTACTAAAAAATTAATTGATCACTGAGATCGGTAAATGTTCAATTCAAATGTTAAAAATACCAAATGAGCAAAAATAAGAACAAACTGCTTAAAAATTAACGGTAGTTTCTAAACAAACAAACTGTGCGCAGACTTTATGGGGCCTATTTTTACATGCAGGCACACTTTTATCCCGTTATATCTGGAATGAATAGTCGAATACAATTTTTGTCTTTTGCTATTTAAACTTAATAATTCAAAGAATAAATATACATATGTAAAAATTTTAATTAAAAATATTTATTTATGTTATTTTTCTTTATCACATATCAAAATTCGTAAGGTGTACGCAGAGTTTATTGGCTATGTGTATATATAAGCATATATACACATAGTAGAAAAAGTCTACAGATATTCACAGAATTTTTCTTAAATTACGCATAACTTTTTTATTTTTTACTCAAATTCATTTTTATTTCCTGATTTATTTTAACCAAAGAAACAACAATAAAGTTCCAATATAAAAACTAAACAGTTATTCTTTAAAAAAAAAAGTTGAGCACTATTATATGCAAAAGTAGCAATTTTTGAAGTAGAAAAAGTCTACGGATATTTCTTAATATTTACATTAAAACAATAAAATTCACAAAAATCTTAAATTTAATAGCCTGTGGGATAACCTCTGCATTTAATAACCTCTGTTAAGCGTCTTTGCATGGACTCAACCAGCTTTGCAGTATCCTGTGCATTTATTTCTAGCCATTCTTCCTTGATGACGTTTCTTACTATATCCTTGCTGGAAAACATATGCTGGCGAATCTTATTTTCCAAATAAACCCACAGATGTTCTATAGGACTAAGGACTGGTGATTCTGGTAGTGTTTGAAGTTGCTTGAGAGCATAGTACAGCATCCAAATCCGTACGATGGGTGTTGTATGGTTAGAGTCGTTGTCCTGCTGAAACAAAAAGGTTGCCTCAGGTCCTAACATTCTGACATTTTCTTTCAAATTTGTTTTTAGAATATTTAGATAGCCATATTTCTCCATTGTATCTTGTACAAATTCAAGTCTGACCGCACCATTACTTGCTATACAGCCCTAAATCATTACGCCTTCACCAACACGTTTTACTGTTAACTGTTTATCACAGGTTGTGCATAATTTTCTCCTTACAAGTTATCTAACTTTGATTCAAAATATGTAAAATTAACTCTCATCGGAGAAAATAACTCATTTTCAGAACTTTATAGGTTTATTTATACGCTTTCTTGCAAAGCTTAATCATTTTATTCTATTATATCTGGATACGTATGGCTTCTTTCCTGCAATCAGGGTATAATACATGCATTTCTTCAAAATTTTCCGCAGAGTTTTAGGACATATTTTGTTTTCAAGTATTTCGGCTAGTTCAGCTAGTTTGAAGGCTGTTACTCTTGCATTTACTTTCACCTGGTTGATTATGCTACGTCTTTCTCTATTTGACAAAATTGAGGGGCGCCGAGTGCGAGGTTTAGAAACTTAAGTACTGATCTCTTTGAATTTATTTGTAATTCTCTGCACAGATGAATATTGACGACCAATATCTTCAGCAATTTTTCTTTGGCTTACGTCATCTTTCTAAAATTTAACAGTTATTTGTCGCTCACTAAAACTAATTTCACGTCTTTTATTTTATATTGTAAAAATTTATTGCTTATATAAAAAATATTATTAAATGATTAATTTTTAGACTTTTTAGAAAGTCAACTAATAATTAAATATCATTTAATGACACTTTTATGCTTGCAAGCGAATTTAAATTAGCGGTAAATGTAAATATTAAGAAATATCCGTAGACTTTTTCTACTTCAAAAATTGCTACTTTTGCATATAATAGTGCTCAATTTTTTTTTTTAAAGAATAACTGTTTAGTTTTTATATTGGAACTTTATTGTTGTTTCTTTGGTTAAAATAAATCAGGAAATAAAAATGAATTTGAGTAAAAAATAAAAAAGTTATGCGTAATTTAAGAAAAATTCTGTGAATATCCGTAGACTTTTTCTACTATGTGTACGTATTTTATAAAATATAAAATACCTATTAGTCATTAATAATGGTTTAAGTATATAAAACTAGCAATTATAATTCAATTGCAATATTGAATTCTACAATATATTCCATAATAGATTATTCATACAAATTTTATACATTCATATCTATGTGTATCCAAATAATATGACAAGATAAAAATTACGCAGACAAAGTATTAAAGTATGGAAGCATGGATGCTTATCAGTTAAAAGATTTATTAAATCATAAGAAAATATTCTTTACTCAACTGATAAGCTGTGATTATTTTATAAATAACAGCAAATAAAAGTTTCTTTTG